GTTTATTGTTCGGCCTGTAGTGCATTTTACACGTATCATACGTGATACGTGATAAAAAAATCTGGATATATATTATTACATGTCGGTACGTTTTTACACGCGTTACGCGTATGAGACGTTACGGCAGCGAACATAACGTCATTTATTCTGCATATCACACTGTAATATTTGCCAAATGTAGCGATAAAAAAGCATTTGAACTCGTATCGAAAGCAAGGAGAAATGATCGAACCGTTTAAAATAAGTAATCTCCGGACCTCTCTTCGCTCATTCTTGAGCAAATTCCGCGAAGACGGAGGGGATAAACCGCATCCGGGTTACGAATCCGGGCATAGCGATCGCTTCGTGGGACACCACATATGTATGTATATGTATGTGTATACACGACTGCGCCAAGTATTTATGTATGGGACGTACATAGCCAAAGAGGTACAAACTACAAACTCGTCACGCACGCATGCACATCCGTGTGGCCGACAGGCGCCACCGAGTCGAGGTTGTGTGCGTGCGTGCCAACTGTAGTCGCAGCGCAGCGCAGCCATGGGTACTTACGAGGAGCGTATGTGCACGCACAGTACGTACGTGCGTGTGTGAGTGATCAACCAGCCGTATGCGTGCATACGCTCCGCTCTCGTCGCTCGTCGTTGCGGCGTCGATGAGCTCGCATTTTTCGTCGTGTCGCGCCACTCGCCACTCGAAAGACAACGGCAGCGGCGGCGGCGGTGGCGGCGCCGACGGCGACGGCGACGGCGACGACGTAATGATGAGTAACGGTGCAGATCGAAACTATGATTAAACGAAATTTTTCACCAATCATCTATAAAGGATAACTTCGAATTCATCCCCTTTGCATTTTTTTATTTTTTTATATTGTAACGTAATTATAATATCTTGATTTTTTTTGTGTCAGTACAGCGAGTCTTTTCTTTTTAGGTATAATTTCATGTGTAAAACTGAAAACGGATTTGCTCCCGCATTCTAAAATCTATGAAATCTAAGAAAATAAGAGATAGATTGTCATTGTTTCGAAGCTTACGACTTGGCGTAATAAATTAGATAATAAAGATAAGAGAAAGTATCATTACACCCTTGTTGTTTGCTCAATGTTAAACAAAGATAAAACAATCACTGTGTTATGTGCAGGATATCTTGTTGGAATACACATATTACATCTGCAGTCTCTTTGTGCGGATTATGGAATCTACAAGACTACATGACAGTTTGACTTATTGTTAGCCACTTGATTTCGTATACACTCTACCAAATGATCAACGACTTAACGAGCTGAGTGATTCGTCCAATACATTTATCGACCTCGCAATATCCAGAATTGCAACTTTGTCGAAGATGCCTGCACTCGGAGAAAAAAGTTGTATCAATAACTCAGAAAATGGAAGTAACTCGTTATTTGTAACGAAGTTACAGTTATAAGTTACTTTTTTGGTAACTTTACTTTTGGTAATAACTGCGTTATTTTTTTCCTTTGGTAACTGTAACGGTAACAAAGTTACATTTTTTTGGTAATGGTAACGAATTTTACAATTACTTTTATCGTTATTTTGCACACAATTGGATATGATTGAACAGGTCACTTATAGTTTGAGACCAGAAAGCCCTCTGCTGTGATTGGTGGTCGTCGATTTTAAAAAATAACGGAAAAGTAACGAAAAGTTACTTTCTCAAGTAACGGTAACTATAACTTGTTACTTTTTTTACTCGGTAACGAGTAATTGTAACTTGTTACTTTTAAAAAGTAACTTTCCATTCCCTGCAATAACTATAAATTTATAGTGAAACAGCACGTCAACTATATACATATTATTCTAATAAGAACATTATATTAAATGAACTAAGAAAATATAGTGATATATAAGTCACAAATTTGTGTGTGCATTTCTTACATTTATTTTTCTCTCTCAAGTTCAAAACCAAAAGGCTGCGTCTTTTATTGTAAGCCGAATAGTTTTCTTCTTAAGAGAAACTCCGCCAAGTCCCTCTGATGATAATGCCGCGTACTGCTCGTGCTGAGCGACTTTAGAGAAAAGGTTTTTAATGTATTCCTTAAAGTTACCTCAATGATTATTAACATTACTACATATAATATAGAGTGCTTTATTAGAAAAAAGATTTTGTCTAAACTATTAGGTGTTGGAATTAATTCGTAGCGTTTTTTAATGAAAGAATGTTATTTATTTCACATGAGCATTAAAAAATACATTAATGAAAGTACTTCCCATCACTTGTAAAACGCTACGAATTAATTCCAACACCTAATAGAAAAATGTAATTGTCTAATTTATTGGCATCAAGTCCAAGTATAAACTATTCAATGTAGTTGAGTCACTATTTCACTACCAATTAATAGTGCAACTTTGTAAAACTGATAATTACACTTAAAAATTCATATTAAATTCATTATTAAACCAAACGCGTACGTTTCTTTCTTAAAAAAAGATGACTAATAAAAGGGTGGGATTAAATTTTTATTTTAATTTAAGAAAAATAAATAATACGTGCGATTGGCTAAATTTATACAGAATAGATACGTAAGCTGTTAGAAAAGTTTCTGCAATCTAATACTTTCAGTGACGCCAACGTTCTGCTACTATCATATCCGTAAAATTAGACATTTTTAACCTATAATTCAGTTGACAATTTGTACCCAAGCCAACTAATTTTGTTTGCATAGTATTTTAAAAGAAGTTATTTTGTGAAAAAATGGAAATTTCGCGTGAAAATTTTCGGGCAATGATTTTTTACGATTACAAATGTAATCTAACTCCGAAACAATGCATCGATGCAACTTCATTTGACTTTTGGGGATGAAGCACCATCCAATAGGACTGTTTATACGTATTGTATTATGATATGAAACAGAGCTAATCCCATAACGTCGTCTGTGAGCGCCAGGTTCAAGTATGCACTTGTAGGATTCACTTTTTCGGATTATCCGAGGAAAGAAAAAATAAGAATACGACGCCGGGACGTGATGCAACAACGTGCACGCTACGCGTGCAACAAGCGTGTCGATATTTATCATATGCATGTATATAGGTACTATAATGCACTATCCGCGCGCCTAGCTGGCGCCCGTCATGAGTTTTATCGTCTTTCTAGTTTCTCACTATCGTGCGAACGACGACGAAAACGAAATTTTTAAATCATTAGCTCGCATCCTGCGCTGTCTCTTATACGTATACTATACATATGTATATATAAAATGTATATTTCTACGGATACTGCGCACTCGTGCAGAAATACGAATACGAGAGACCAAGTCGCACGTAAAGAAATTAGAGAGGAATCTAAAGAAATTAAATACTCTTCTAAAAATTGCCGTATTTCATAAATATTTAAATTATTCATTCCATGTTCATATCGATGCGTGAACAAATTTAGAACATCAAATTTATCGTATTTTAATAATTCCTTTCTGAAAATATATAAATTCAATAAACATTGTAATACTCCATTCGCACAGCATGAAACCTTGTCTATATTTTGAAAATCATGTATAATCCAAGCAGTATGTACTTAATGGATTAATTTACGCAACTTACCGTTATATGCGCGTGCGTATTGCTAGTTGACAATTATTAAATTTAAGCGGTTCATCAGCAGATAGAAAGTTGAAGACAATTTAAGAGGGAGAAAATTGAAAGAAGCTCGCGGTCCTTGATGTTACATTAGTTACATATAGCAGGTGCCTTTCTCAAATGCGGATGTTAATCTATCGATCGATGAATCATTTACGTAGCGCTCGATTCGAGTAAGTAAACGATTTCATTGCTCGCCACTCGCCGCTCGCGTCGAGCATTCCATTTCCACGAACAACCGACCCCCTTTCAAGATAGTTTACACTGTCGCGTAATAGCCTTTGTTTGTTTGCAACTAACTTGTTTCGACAAATCTCCTCTTTGGCGCCGAGTATTTTTAGGCGACCTGCACCCCTCGCAACATATATTTATAATAATACACCGCGCTTACGAACTTCGTAAGCGTAGGATTTCACTTTTTCCGCGAGCAAACCTCGCTTTTCCTTCGGTCGAAATGATAAAAATCTTGGACGACTTTTGACGAACCAACAAACAATTAATCTTGCGTCTGTAAATCCTTATGGATATATTACGCCGAATATTTCGCGCGTTGTCGCTTGTTGAATATTACGAAAGATATTCTTGATTCCAGCTTCTTTTATCTCGAGAGTATCTCAGATGAATAATTGCGCGAGTTGATGCGATAGCCACTTCTTTCTTACTAAATTCACAAGAATTAGTAAAACAAGCATGCCGATTCGAGCACGTGCACGCACGCGCCGTGTTTCCTGCGATCATCCACATGCAACTACCTATATCGCGCTTTTATCAACAACAGTAGCAATCGCAACGTAATAGATATTAAAAATGCGCTATATTATTATTATCGTAATAAACCGTATCGTATTATTAAAATAACGAAGGGAGACCGACGCATAAAATATCTCTCGCAAAAGAACAAAACGAGTAGTCGATCGTTACATAGCGTTACGTTATATGAAATGACATGAAAGAGCGGTACGTAATTTGTTTAGAATGGCGAAAAAAGTCGCGTAAATGAAAAGCTGTGCAACTAGCGCATGTAATGCTTGTGCATAGATTTTCAATTTATTTGGATCGAGATAGGTGCCCAGCCAACCCATCTACGTTACCTTTATCGGTAGATTGCGCATCTTTGTCAGCGAACATCTCGTAATCCTCTGCATCTGAATTTGTAGGTGCACCGCTGGTGACAGCGACGACGAGACCTGTCGTCATCATCGCGATAGTCAGTACGTCGCGTGGTAACATCCCGAACGCGATCATCATCAGTTCGCTACTATTAAATCGATTTAATATCTCGGCAAGTTATCCGAGTCTACGTTCAATTAATCACGTAGAGCGAGTCTCTCAAACGCGAATCAATGCTGACCCGGCGCGGCGTGTTCGTCGTCAGGACGATGAATTTCCAAAATTTGGGCATGTGTTTCCCTCGAATGTATCGTTGCTGAATTGTTACGGTTGATGGATCGACATCACGCGAGCACGTTCAGCATGCAAGTGCACCAAGCGTGCACGAGAGTGGAGCGGCACTCGGACGATATCCAGCGGCTGACTGATTCACTCACCTCTACCGACTACTCACAGTGCTCACAGTCCTCACAGACCCCACGGCACGGCCACAACAGTCGCGCTCCGCTCCGACCAGCTCCGACCAGCTCCGACCGCTCGGTCGCGTCGCGTCGGCGCGGTGACCGGCCACCTCGGAGCCAGATCAGCCAGAGAGCCCGAGAGCCGTGCACAGTTGCGCCGAGCGATCCAAGAATGCTCGTCTCGAATGTCGATTTTTAAAGAAAAGCCGCCTGCGCCACTCGTTAAGCTACCGTACCGACCACTCGTTACTGCCTTCAGGTTGCATAGTTCGACTTGCTCGAACTGTTTATCTACACCCAGAGATGCAGCTGCATTCATTGTCAGCTAATTATTTTTCTACTCTTCTTAAGAACCTACATACACTTTTCTAGAAGGTTGTTTGTACTTTGTTTTTAAAAAATTCTGCACAGAGAGGAAATTTGTTACATATCATATATATATATTTTATGTATCGAGATCGGAATTCAATTATTTTTCAAAGTCGAATAGCGCACATGCGTGGCACGCTATACTTACATTAACTTGCATTAATAATGTATCAAGCGACGCCACGACGCACGACGCCGTGCGTAAGTGTAAGTAGCGCGAATGAGCGCGAAATAGTATGGGTGCGATTTGTCAGTGGAAAGTCGGTGAGAACAGCTGCGGCGCGGAAGGGGACGATGGCGCCTAAGCCCTGACGCCAAAGTGGTGCGATCGACGCGACGCGACGCGACACAATGTATGTATCTTTGTCTGCTTTTTCCCTGCTTTTTCGATCGTTAGACGCAACTTTTTTCACTACTATGATACATACGTTGCCCCGTGTTATTCAATTATTCATTTTTTATATACAATGCAATTTATGTTACAATATATCGATATATATATATATATATTTTAATCTAATTAGACTTACATAACATTTTTATATATGCACCTCTATATATTTTCAATTATATACAGTAATCATTGATTGAGTCGAAATATGTACATACGATTCTTATACTTTTCTTGATCATTTCTTTTCGTACAACTTATAAGTAGATGATTCGCTGTACTCGTCGCGAGACGCCACGATGTCTCTTTCTTCGTCAATATTCGTTTATTTGTGTTGCATGAAATTTCTTTCTCACGATGACCAAGCGTTTTTAGTGTAGGACTTTCGGCGCGCACATATGTACGTTATTTCTCTTTGATCAAGCATCGGCAAGATGTGTACGTGTGTGTTCGGCAACCTGGAGGATGACTAAATACGTTGAAACAGCCGGAGTGGAGGAGGGCCGGGGCACCTGGCACTCCTGGTATGGTTGATCGCTCCTCGAGGGGCTCCCACCGGGGAAGGTTTGAGCTACATGGCCCACCGTTAGCTATCCATACGGATAGATACCTATAAAACAAAGGATGCCAGCGTTGTAGTTGATTTATTCTTCAGGCAAATACACACACACACACACACACACACATCAGATCTCGCATCTCCAAGTCGTTCGTCACGGGTGACGTCGCTTTTTCAGACTTTTCTGTCTCTCTTCCCGTGGCACCCCCCTAGTTATTCTTAAAATAAAATTAAACAAAATCTTGTTACTCGCATCATTTGGAATGGCATTGACAAGTGTCATGCGTTTTCGCGTAAATGTAATAAAATGAAATGGTAAAAGCAAGGAACAAAAATACTTTTTGGGTAACTTTACTGGTAACTGCGTTACTTTTTTTTTGGTATATAACTTACAAATAGTTACATTATTTTGGTAGCGATAATTTTACAGTTACTTTTATCGTTACTTGACATATGATTGGACATGGTTCGACTAGACACAAGTCACTCATAGCGTTTGAGATTAGAAAGCCTCTAGGCACTCATCTGTTGTGATTGGTGATTGTCGAATTAAAAAAAGTAACGAAAAAGTAAGAAAAAGTTACGGTAACTGTATAAAGTAACAAGCAACTAAACAAAGTTACAACGGTAACTGTAACGAGTTACTTTTAAAGTAAGTAACTTTCCATTCCCTAGTTAAAAGATTAAAAATTCTAAAAATTCAATTCTTACAACTTTGCACTTTGCAGATATAGTAGGTAGAATATATCGTATCTTAAATATCGTGACGTATATACTATATATCTATTATATGCATTTATATTTTAGACTATTCTTTTGCACGCGCGCGCGCGCGCGCACACACACACACACACACACACACACACACACACAGAGGATGTAACAGAAATAACGCCCACTAATCATACAGTGCTATTCCTAATAAAAAACCAAATCGAAAAGTCCTCTATCATCTTGCAATTTTCACAATAGTTAACGAGACATTAATTTTTGAAGATTGCCGAATAAACGGATAAAATCGATATTTAAGGCAATTTTTAAGATATTTTTCTTTGTTCTTTGTGAAATGTTTTGAAGACTGTTCTTAAAAAACTCTTAAAGATATCTTAAAGCTATCTTATACGTCGCGCGATTTTGCGATTGGGTAAAACAAAAATATGACGAAAATTTCAAAATGGTAGAAGACTTTTCGTCTCAGTTTTTTATTAGGAATAACATTATATGATTAATGAGCGTTATTTCAGTTACACACCCGTGTATATCTGAGGCCTTTTTCTCAACATAATTAAACGAAAAATATCTAATATAAATTAAATGTAAACTTCTGAGGAAGTGTATGGAATTCTATAGCTTGGAAATTTGTATGTATAGAGTGCTCCATACCGACCCTACTAAAGTCACCAGCCCTAATTATATGTATGTTATACAATACGGATTAAAGCAAATTTGACGGCCGCGTCTGTAATTTTGATGACTGAATCCAAGATTCAGCGTAAACAGTTTATCGTTTCGACTGTCAAGGGTTAATAGTGTCTGCTGAGATAATATTATTAGGTAGCGCGCGATACTCGATCGCTCGTGATCCGACAGCCGTGTCGGCGCTACTGTTGGAACTTGAAAGCTATATCCAGCGAACGTAACAAAAAATCGCTTTAATACACGACTCGGCCAGCCTGTCGGCAGCAGTTATCTCCCGCACAGTCGGTTTTTATTTATATTTTCCGTTCGTTAGTCGATCAGCGGCATACGATCGAGACGAGAATTATGCATGTATATATTCCTGACCGCAAACAAGTATATACGTTTAAGAGATCTATTCTGAATAAAAGATATTATAATTACATCCCGCGCAATGCATATATCAATTCCTACTCTATTCACAATTCCAAGTTTATATCTATTTATATCTATTATAGGTAACTTATCTTGTTTAATAAGAGATGTAATATAGTTATATATACTTTACCTGTATCTTATTGTAACTTGTTCCGCTTCAGAAAAAAATTACAATTCCATCGAATCACAATGTATCTATAATTGTAAGTTTTGGCGTCATTCACCAACAGTTTACCGTGTCCATTATATAACGATTACTTCGAAGGAATCTATAACGTACAATAAAATATTTATTAGTAAGATTTTTATCGGTTTCCAGCATCTGTCGTACAAAATTTATTTTCCCAAGTTGTATCGTAAATTATATTAGATGGATAAATATATATTTGTGATTTATTAATATTAGATTATATCTGATAAAAAGTAAATATATGTGTGTTCACAAATTGATATCTGATTAAAAATTATTTCGTTAAGGTATCCTTAGGTAACTTGTCGAGCTTCCTGTATATAAATCACGATCAAAAATCGATTCGATACACACGTACGATGCCGGAGATTCCGCTTAAAACCGGATCTTGTCCCAACTCCCTACAGGTTTATTCGGATATATCTGACGAGGATAGAAACCGTAAATAATGCGGAGGAAAACAATCCTTCGACACAAAAGGCGTGGAATTGAAACGATCGTTACAATGATTGAAGGAATCAATTATTTAAGAACTTGGTGAGACTGCACTCGATTAAATTACACATTAAGATCAATATCTTTATTGATAAGAAAATGATCATGTAATTTTCAATGGGTTTTAATTAAATTCATTTAAATATCACGTAATATATGATAAGAAAAAGCTTATACTGGAAAAAAAAATTAATATATCTTTTATACCTCATAATAATATTTATATCTTTTGTCAAATTGAATACATTTGTATAATATTATATACATATACACAAGGGCCACGCAATTATAGAATTTTACGATTATACACGATAGATGTATAGAAATCCAAATTGCACGATTGAACAATGGATAAAATTTTATCTTTATCATTCAAAAATGAGAGTTAAGGATTACTCTTCGGTCACTTTTTTATTGTGTAAAACGCGAAGAAATCGAAAGACGATAAAAACGAATTGTGGAGGCCGCGCACGATGTCATCCACTCCAAGATAAAAAGAATGAGAGACTAACGATGCGCGCGTTTTACTAAGGTGTATATGAGATTGGTCGAAACACCAACCGTCCCGAACTCGAAAACCCACTTAACCATTCGGAGAATGAAGATTAGAGGGCAGGTCTGTAAGAAGCCTCCAAGCTATGCTATCTACGGTTTTCAAGATGGGGAGGGAACTGAAGACCCTGGGGATCGGCCCCTCGTCGAGAGGCAGACTGATAAGAGGGCGGCTTTTAGTGTATCGCGACGTACAACCTACCCCGAAGAAGTGCGGTCGAATAGCCGAAGAAAAGGAAACTGGATAGTTTCTAGATAATAAGGAACAGTCCTAAATGCAGGAATGAGGAGTTCCCCATTCGTGAAGCAACTACTAAATGTAATTTATAAAACCGCAATCTCGCGCGTGCGTGTATAGTCAAACGTAATTTAACAATAGGTACTGATAAAATTAAGTGTACTTGCGGATTTGCTATTCGAGAAATCGCGAAATAATTTGTCGTTGATTTGCACGTCCTAGAAAAACGAGTCCTATGCAGGTTGCTATAAATGTGTATCGCTCGCCGTGTGGCCTCGATATTCATCATCTGTTACACAGGGTGGTCCCTGCGTTCTACCAAGGCTACTTTCAAATAGATTTATCTTCACCGATCGTTTTATAATTATCCAATGTTAATTCGATCTTATACCATCAATAATGTATCGTCTCTTCACATAGTGACACACATATTTCGATGATAATACTTTTATTTATTTATTTTACATTGCAACAAATATCCTTATACGCACATTTCATTTAATATTTCTTTTATATTAAAGTATAGATATAGATAAGACATAAATCAATTTACAAGGACTCCTTACTGTTCAAAGAAATTTATAAAATATAGGAGTCAGGCATGGCAGTCGTTGCACAAATAATATATATACGCAGATATAAAATAAAACTCTTTATTAAATTAACGCACTTATGTGTTTCGGCTCTTTTTTGAGTCCCTAGCTCAAGCTTTCAGTGACATAAATCACTATTATAATACAATCTATACGTATAACTACCTTGTCATAGTGAGCTTCCTCTACTACACTAAAAAATCTCTATACAAGAATTAAACTCAGATGAATGTTAAAAAGAAAAGAGAAGAAAAATTTTTTTGAATTTATCAGAGATGAAATTTGGAAAACCTTAATAAATTTGAAACCCAATGAAAGTAAAGAGACTCATCATGAACTGAATGTATCATATCATAAACAATAAACACAATTGTCTAGTAAAAAATAATTTTTTACTTGTTGGCGCCAGTCAGTGTCAAATTAAGTGTATTGCTTATTAAAATTAGTTAACATTTCTTAATTTTAAAACTCTAAAGTTAACTCGTTATTTAATTAAAAAAAGGAATCAGAGATAACGATCGATAGAAATCGATAATCAAGATAGAAAGACTTAGTTTCTATGCAAGGACGACATTGACTGACTGAAATCAAAACAAGTCGACATTTATAGCTTGTCAATAATCGGAAAGTAGGTCTTGAGAAACTCCTCCATGACTATCTGTAATAATACTTCTGAAACCAATCTTTTCCTGTGCTGAGGTTCCTCATTCAAAATTGTAACATTCTCCCAGTCGAACTCATGGTCCTCTTGCAAACAGTGATCATTTATGACTGAACGGGTAGATGTATTCCACCGGATGTGATTCCTGTGTTCAGTGATTCTGTCAACTTCAACTGTCCGCTCGTCTGTCCCATATAACTCGCAATCTTTACAAGAAATCTTATACACGACATTCGATTTCATCACATTATATCCCGCAGCAGATCCTTATACACATCTCTCTCTCTCTCTCTTAATGAATTCCCGTAATTTATTATTACTATAAAACGATATTTTAATATAATCGCTATTTAATCTGTTAAACTTTTCGGTAATATTAGGAATGTAAGGAATGTAAGTAAACCTATAATTTCAGCGTTATTTTCCTTTTGTATTTTTTATTTTACTAGACCTAATAATGTCTTTCAGACAATTATTAACATTATCAAAATTGAAACTCAATGGCTGATCATTCTCTAACAATATTTTAATTATAAGACAAAAATAATCAAAGTGAAATTTCGAAAATCACTCTATCAACCAATCCCTCTATCAACAAAAGAAAAAAATGTTTTTCTCTTTTCTTTTTAACGTTCATCTGAGTTTAATTCTTGTATAGAGACTTTTTAGTATAGTGAAGGGAGCTCACTATGACAAGGTAATTATTACGTATAGATTGTATTTATAACGGTGATTTATGTCTCTGAAAAGGGCATTTTTTTTCTAAAAAATAAATCGAAACATGTAAGCGCACGTTAATTTAATAAAGAGTTTTATGTTATATCTGCGTATATATTGTATATTATTTGCGCAACGACCACCGCGCCTGTCTCCTATTACCCTGTTATCACCAAATTTCTTTGATATAGATAAGTTTAAGAAAACATAATAATTTAATATTGATTTCTTTTGACGAGATCATATTTTTTCAAATCAACTGTATAAATGAAGAATTAATTTATATGTACGTAATATAGATGTGAGAAAAATATACGAACCTTGTAATCACATAGCAAGATGCGAGGACGGATATAAGGACTGCAACTGCAAGGACAAGAGCGGCGATGTGAAGCGCTTTGATGCGATTCTGGAGAAGTCGATTGGTTGATTCTATTGAATCCTCATAGTTTCGATCAGGTTGTAACGTTAACATTGTATGACGATTCGTTGACGTTAGATAGTCCATTAGCGTCTCGCGATTTACCGTAGAATATGTCTGATTCATCTGAACTTTTCTTTCGTGCGCCCATGTGCTGGCGTTCTCCTCCTCGTCGTCGTCGTCGTCGTCGTCATCGTCGTCGTCATCAGCGTTGCAGTAGTCATGACTGTTGCAACATTTCAATCTGGGCCAGGGCACGAGAACCCGAGGACTTGTCGACAGTTCCATGGCGTTGACCGATCGTGACCTCGTGACCCAGGACTTTGTTTCGCACAACAATGGCGTGGCACCTCTGCGTGTGATATTGCAAACATCAATTGATAAAGTTCCGTGAACCCATCCGTTGCCGATAATTAACGCAGCGGCGCTTACGCGATGCCTAACAATGTCATTCAACTATCGTAGGCAATACAACTTTTGCGATCTTGTAATTTTTTTAGTTGCAACATATATCTGATCGAGATCACAACAGCAGGCTAAATCGTCAATTATTTTTATTTTCCTTGAACGAGGAATAGATTTAAGAATTTAAAAAGTAATGTTTCGATTATAGATAAAATATTATATAGAAATTTATAGTAACATTGCAGAAATGTTGCAATATTGCAGATTGTGCTGTAATATCGCTACAATATTGTAGAAATTAGATTAATTAGATAAATTATATTAGAAATTCTAATATGTAATATATATCATGGCATGCAAGATTTTGCAAATCTTGCAGCATTGTTAGAAGAGATATTAAAAACATTTTGGCTTTTGAGTAATGGACTGCTGTTACATATAGAAACATACGTCAATTACATGTTATATGATTGTTAATTATTTTCATTAATATAGAAATTATAGTGTTCGCGTTGAAATTTCTTGTTACCGCCACGCGACAAGAAAAAAGTTTTTTCAAACTTTATAATCAACTCTCATAATTCTTTGGAATATTTTAAAAAATCCTTTGAATATTGCAAAGAAAATGAAATAGAATACAGTGGAGAATAAGAATATAGTGGAGTTTCTTATTATTTTCATTTCACCAGTTATAAGAATATGTAAAAAATAGGCATACTTACACAAATATAACATATAAAATATTAATATTTGTGAAAAAATATAAAAAATGTATAATAATATCTATACATAAATTTATATCTATACGTAAACTTAAAAAAATATATATACCTGATGCATATAAAATTTGCAATTAAGTATAAAATATAATAATTATATAAAATTATATATAACATAAAATATATATTGATTTGTTTTTTTTCTACATTTTTAAAATTTATATCACAAATTGTATTTAAAATTATATTCAGTAATAATATTAGGTGTTGGAATTAATTCGTAGCGTTTTTTAATGAAAGAATGTTATTTATTTCACATGAGCATTAAAAAATACATTAATGAAAGTACTTCCCATCACTTGTAAAACGCTACGAATTAATTCCAACACCTAATAAAAAACTATTTTTAATAATAAAATTTTAGTTACAAATATATTGCGCTGCAATATTGCTACGACAGCGCAATCTTGTTGAAGGCGGACATTTTTATGATGTTATGATTGCAACAATGTTGTAAATACATTGAGCAATCTATTTGCAATATTACAACATTGCAATGAGATATATCTGCAATCATTTCGCAATCTTTCTATGCTATAGCAGTTCTTTGAAATAAATCGAATATTAAAAATTAAAAGTTATATTTTAAAAGTACATTACGTGCACTAAAATGTCTTTACTTATTAATTATTAGTACGGCGTCCAATTATCATTATTGTTAATTGTAGCTTGTCATCATTTATGAAGATGAAGCTTTCAGAAACACACGAATATTTATTTTGAAACAATTATATCCTAGCATTCGGAAAGGTTTGGAAATAGAGCTTCTGATGTCTCAAATTGAATAGCAAAAGAACTCTCTGCACAAAAACTTGTATGTAGAAAATGAATACTACATAATCTTATTAACATAATATCCGGATTTTGTTGAACGAATCCTTATCGCAACTGCCATGTTTAAGGTGATCATGGTAATTTATTAATGTATTTAATAAAAATCGTGGAAACCTTTTCGTTCGATTATCTCGTCAAGGTTAAGTATACATATATATATTCGCACGCCATAATACATTCCTGAATTTATATTATACTGTTGATGAAACTTGTACAAAACGACAAATAAAATCCTGTTCATGAAGAGATATAACGTCTTGCCTTTTAGCATTTTAATTCATATAAGATAAAAAAATATATGTTTTTGAGAAGGAAAAGTTGTATGTGTGATAGAAGAATGCCTTAAATACTAATGTATACAAAATTAATTGGTATTCACTTATGTAACTTAACTTTCATTAAACATCTGCAAAAAGTGACAATCATTATACATATATGTACATACTCCGTGCATCCTCTCGTGATTGTACTTTCACCAATTTCCTGTCTCGTCACGATAAGTTCCGTGTAGCAGAAGAATCTGGTTCTACAAATATCTATGCCTGCTTCTTTGCAGGCTTTACTCGTACACACGCACTTTCTGCCTATATAAAACATAATATTTATGTAACGAACAGTCTAAAGAAGTCTAAAATAGAGAGTTCAACTGTTAGCTGACAAAAATATTTACTCACAATAGTGTTTATGAATTTTCTCAAGTTTCGCAAAGATACGTTACTAATTTATGAAAAATAAAAATTCGATTTCAAAAATTAGTAATGGAATTTAATCTTTGATTTATACTACATGAGAAAATGAAAAATTTGGAGCACATCAATTTATATGCTCGTTATCTTCTATACATAAATGTATATTATAGTTCACAGTTTTATTTTGTAATACAATACCATAGAATTGGAATGAAATAATTCAGTCGAGCGCACTCACATAGAAACTAGAAAGAACGCGTTTAATTAATGGCGTCCCTTTGCGCCAATTAGAATGGCGCCTGCAGCGCGGATGACAATTACAATTAAATGCAGGCTCGCTCACCTTCGACTTGCGCGACACTCGTCGACAGAGATACGATGCACCCCGCGAGAAGATATCCGATTAACGATCGACCGATTATCAATCGACGAGTGAGCATGTCTTCTTTTCAAGGTTTTCGAAGGACCGAATTAAGTATTTATACCAAATTAGTTTGCGTTTATCGCTTGTCGGGCGCCACATTGCCGATAGAAGGACTGCGAGCCATAATTACAACTCTCGCGATTCTCCGCTGAAATGGATCGTCTTATCGGTTGAAAGGACTATTTCGAAATGTTGTGTTGGAAGGAAGAAGCTGTACCGCGACGAAACTCTCTTCGCCGCTACTCGCGTGGGCTCCTCTAATTTTGGCACCTCCCACTAAAAGAGCTTCGCGTCGTGGCCGGTTCGACAATTTATTCCTGTATCTATTTTAATTCCATCATCGATGGCGTTTACTCATGGCCGCGAATCCCTTTTCGTTCCTGCTGTCGCGAAGCGATATATTTATTCTCGCTTCGCGCCTTTCGCTTTCGCGCGAATCCGATCCCCTTTTTTCGCGGATGCTCCGTGACAGAATGTTGGCGGGAATCACCGCGCTCTTAAAGTTGTCCGATTTATTGGAAGAATAACACGCCGATTTCTCCCCACGCTTTTACGTATACGCTTTTATATATACGAGAATGTATATTTCGAGAGATGCTCTCGTCCCGCCGATCTCGTCGACGACAATTCGGACGTAATCGCAGGCTTTGACGGCGCCGAATGGTGCGTGCGAGAGAGAGAGAGAGAGAGAGAGAGAGAAAGACGACCTCCTCCAGACGGCGCCGACGACCTGGAGTCGCAGAGTCCTCGTTAGCGGAAAAATCCAAGACAAGGACGCATCTTTTTCCTCTTCTCTCTGATCGAGAAATATTTTTGTCATTTATACGCAAAAATATCGCGAAAACAGTACGATTAAATAAATTATACGTATATATATGTATGTATATTGCATCATAGAGCGATGTATGACGTACGCTCAATTATTTCCACTCTTTTAAATTAGCAACTATTTAAGAAATACAGCTACTGTATATACATATATGGCCATATCTAAGGAAATAGAAGCAAAGATCAAAAGCGAGCATTTTAAAGAAGTAAAAAATTTTTATTAAAAAAATCAAGATGTCTCGCAAAAATATTGCAAATATATTGTAATATATAATCAGTAATTATACTAAGATCAAAATTACAAATCGGAATAATTAATTTCAGATTTTTCGAGTCGTTCCCTTTTTTGCTCTTTTAATGTACACTATATCGTAGTTAAATTGATGATCGCGTGACAATTGTATAAGGTATTACAAAAGCGCGAGTGGACGGTGATGAGTGATTTCATCAAGAATATAGCATGTAGGGTTTTCCTGTGTTTGACCGGCAATGGCGGCAATATACCGGTATTCAATGACTCACGAATCATGGCGCGCGCAGTCATTAGAACTTTTCAAGTGCAGCAGAGACGAGAGTTAAATTCCTCGTTTGGCTTCCTGAGTATGCAACATTAACCAGAGAGTCTCCTCGTTCTTTGCATTTTTTTTTATCGACCTCTGAGTCGAGACAGAAAGAGAGAGAGAGAGAGATGGTAAAAGCCGAGTTGGGTTATCGGAATGACACTTGGCGTTACAGTTTAACGAGATCGCGCGTCAAGCTTAATAGTCTATTTTCCGATCGCTTCTTGCTGTACACAGTACATACAAACGGATCGAATGTCTGTGAGATAAAACGATTTACGCGGCAGCACAAAGATTTCTTTCACGTAAAATTTACTGAATCATACTTTTATTTAATTTAACTCATCGTTTTTTTCTTATAATTGGTCTATCTCATTGTCAGCTAGATACAGGGAATAGAAATAATTCGTTATATACTCGTTTGGTAACTGCGTTACTTTTTTTTTCTTTGATAATTGTAACGATAACAAAGTTACATTTTTTTTATAACGGTAACGAATTTTATAGTTACTTTTATCATTACTTTGTACATGATTGGACACAAGGCACTTACACTGTAAAAAAATTTCTTTATATATAATAGATGTAAAATAGATTACATGATTAGTCCTGTATATATAAAAAAATCAATTGCAATTTTACAGAAATTATGTAAGTCCACAAAAATTATGTAGATTTTATTGTGTAAATATATCTTATTTTATATTGAAAATTATGTAAAGCAGGATATTTCAAATATTTTCTGTAATTATCCAAATTTCAGTAATATTACGTAATATAACAGAAATGTTTCGCGTATTGCTATTAAATATAATAATATATAGTGCGAAATGTATTATCATATTATCGCTTCTGTAACTACACATACACATTGTAATTGTACTTCCACAATCTGGTTAGTTACAAACCATGAAATTATTTTTATTTGCATATTACAAATTTACAAACGTGTGGACGTTTACAACTATTATAGTGGGTCTCAAAATTATCCACTGTAATAGTTGTAATGTTTTACACAATTTTTTACAGTACATAACGCTCGAGACTAAAGATCCGCTGATTGGTGGTCGTAGATTTAAAAAAGAATTACGGAAAAATAACGAAAAGTTATTTTCTTAAGTGTAACGATAACTGTAACGAATTACTTTTAAAAATCGGTAACTAGTAACTGTAACTTGTTACTTTTAAAAAGTAACTTTCCATTCTCTAGAAATATTAGAGTATCGTTAATGTAAAGCACATTGCTCCGAGTTAACGTTTTAACAATGCAATTTTGCTAATACAGTGGAGTATTGTACATCGTCAAATATAATAAGAAGATTCCTAGCTTATTTGCGCTTATTTCGGACATTATATTTAAACATACATAATTATCTACAACTAACATTTTCCTGATCGTCACGCGTTCGTTTTAAGAGTGTATGTACATTTCGTTCGAGTACACGAATGAATATCTTTATTTTATTTGAGAAAACAAAGAGACAATTAAAAAGAGCGAAGAAACACCCGTATTCATAGTCCTTCCTTATTTTAAGGATGGAGGAAGCCTCCATGAAGAATTCTTCGATTCTCCAAGGCCTCCTTGTTTCATAAACGGATCTCAAGTGTGTCTTTCCGGAAGAAGGAATATTTTAGGGATTTTAATAACCTACTGAGGGTAGCATGTCATAATATTGGGTCATCTAAAAAGTATCCGCAATTTTTTGTCACTAGATGGTATTGATGGTCAACACCATCTAATATATGCTAATACCTAATATCGTGAATAATAAAAATTATAAAGGCATTGTTGATTAAATAAGGTCATGATTAAGCATTTTGCAACAATAATGGACAAAAATAAAACTAATAGCGAATTTGATTGACGCACTCATTGCACACTGATGCACAAAACCGCCGTACATACACAAAATAACGTAAATGAACATAGAAATCGATTAAATTGTGAAATACGCAATACATTTTATTGTACTGTTAGATAAAATATGTATTTTATAATTCAAAATATTTGCATTCTATTTTTATACTCAAATTAATGTACAACGGCTTTAATATGCATCAGTGCTTTCAATCAAATTCCCCATAATACTTATTATAAGAAGGAGAAAATGCTTTTAGAGGAGTTATTTCGGAAAAAAAGCTATCAAAAATAATTATCGATGCGTCAGATTTAAATTAAAAGTTATTGAAAGTAAAAAGACCGATGTGACGAATTAAATTTGGAGATTTGCTTAGTTATGAAGGTTACATCTCCTCAGGAAACTCATAACCTACCTTGAGAAGGAAGTTAATAATTAATAGGAAATTAAAGGTTCCTTCTTTGGTCAAGGAAGGTTTATAAAACATAAACTGAGGAATCCTCATTCCTCAAGAAAGGACTATGAATACGGTATAAGTCTCCGGAGAGGACTCGAAAGAAACGGAGAATCATCGCTGGATTGTCCCTTTTAATTGGCTTAGCTCTGCGCGCCACGCCATCTTTCCTTCTCATTCTCGTTACGATGCGATATCCTCTTAATTGTCGACGAGAATTGTGCCCGTCAAGCGCGAAAAACGAGTTTCGAGCAGGTTCGCACTGTTCGCAGGCCGCGCGTGAGAAAATTAAGGAGCGAAGCTACGTCGTTATCCTGCTTATCCACATCGCACATCGACTGCACATCGACTGTACTGTGTGCCCACTCAAATGTCGTTCGAATCGTTCGAAACTGTTTGAAACTGACGCAGAATCATCACGAGACATAATTCTAGCGGACCGCCTGTCTGTAATTCTTTTATAATAGCTTCAAGAAAGGTCGCTGTGTACTTTCACACACAGATGTCCGTACGAGCACACAGTGTTACTTTCTGCGTGAATTTAATCAGCGAATTATCGTCGACACGCAAACAAGCCGGTTGAAATCTCGCTTTAACTTTCGTTAAAGCCAATGGAAAAGATAATTACGACCGTAATGGCTAGCCGTTTCTAAAAACAATTCTAATTCTACTTCAATTTTTACGTACGAATGGAAGTAACTCGTTATATAACTTTGTTTGATAACTGCGTTATTTTTTCTCTTTGGTAACTGTAACGAAGTTTCATTTTTTGATAACGGTAACGAATTTTACAGTTACTTTTATCGTTACTTTGCACATGATTGGACACAAGCCACTTACACTGTAAAAAAATTTCTTTACATATATAATAGATGTAAAATAGATTACATGATTAGTCCTGTATATATAAAAAATGCAATTTTGCAGAAATTATATAAGTCCACAAAAATTATGTAACTTTATGTTAGTGTTACATTGTTCCTATTAAATAATTCATAGTTCTTATATCTACAAAAATAATAAATATATATATATTGTATATAACATATTCGTGTAAAATTAAAAATAAATTTTAATACTGCCAAGTGTTATCTTATCTTTTTTGCGTATTTAATAAGATTTGTCTGACTGAACAATTCTAAATCTGTTTCGCAAATTTGATGTTTATTGAGCTCTCATATAATTATATATCAGGAATTTATCTTTCTTTGGAAGGAAAAATATAAAATTTTCCGTATCCCATTTATTAGAAATTCTTCATGTTTGTATTATGATATGCTAAAGTATATATTACAAGTTATCTACTAGCGATTATTACATACAAGTGAAAAGTATTGTAAAAGGCGATAGCACGACTACGCGTTGTAAAGAATGAGAGAACTGATGACAAAGTTTCGAGAACACTGAGCGCTGATGGAACACGTCACGTCTCGAACCTGATCTTGCGACGAATTGGCAAAGCGGCGCTTTGTTACGCAACGACTGGTGCTGGAATATAAATCAGTATTTTATTGGTGCATAGAAATGCGCGAGAGATCAGTACTAAGATCAATACTATGTATACAATTTTTATTAATCTGCAAAAAAAGATGACCTTTTAAAAGGGCAAATAATTTGCATGACAAGCATATATATTTTTTATCATATTTTGCAACTTGTTCGGCGTCTTTTCACTTCGTTTCTTTTTTTTTTTTTAATTAGATTTAATTTTTCCAATGTAAACGAATAATCTTTTCAGACGTGCATATAAATTAGCGGTGAATGTAAAATGAGAAAGGCACTGTTCCAGGTCTTACTCATATGCGTGAAGCTCGGCTGCGCACCGATTACCAGCATCTTTCTCTGCGACGAAAACGTTGTGGGAATTATACTTATAGATATCTGGTTTTCATTAGTTCTCGGCTGATTAAATTCCTGAGCGTTTTGTCTATTATTTTCGTTGATACGTGCGTTACGTCCGGATGAAGTACCTTAAATATTATGTTTGTGCAGATTATCCAATTACATTATCCAATTATCGCGCTTATCTGGTTTCAAAGTACATAACAATAAATGCTTTTTAGCACAACGCGCTTTAAATAACAAACAACGAAGAATTTAGAATATAGACTGTATGATCATTTTGCCGATAAAAAGATAGCAATATTACAAATACGTATATTTTTCGAATCTTCTACTTAAAAAGTTTCAACATCGATACGACATACCCGTGTATCCTAAACAAGCTCGATGTATTTAAACAGGTATACTTACCACAAAAATGACAGAAACAACGATTAAAGCACTGCCTAGCCAAAAGTACCAGGTTTCCAAAGGATGACGTGGTGCTCGCCGTTGCACTATGGAACGACGCTGCAAATTATAGCAGCGATGCAGATCATGCGGACGATACTCGGCTGTGCATACGTATAACTTAAACGCGTTAATGTCACTGTTGTTTCCAAGTTCGAAGCCGTTTCTAAAAGACTAGTGCCCTCGACATTAGCACATTGGTTTTCCCTGCTGTAGCGTGCAAGATGATTAAAAATTTATCGCTCGATCTTATTGGCGACTGTTCACTGTTCAAGTTTCCGTAACAAAACGTCCGACTGTAATTACATTTATGTATTATTTGACGTAGCGGATGCGCAACAGTTCGATCAAGTCGTATTGCGATTGTAAATATTCTGAAAAAAACTTACAAAATTATTTTTAATTATTTTGATGACAAAATTATCTTTCTGTCTCGCGTTGACACCACGTTTTATTTACTAAATTAATATTATGACGCGTGACGTATATCGCACACAAATTTTCTTAATAACTCATCCTCACAGAAAGTGATCACTTGTTCAGTTTTATAAAAAATAAAATCACGTGAAACATAGTAGGATATCGATAGTAGACTTGATGTTTGACTATCCTTGACTGGACTGGACAGGCACGAAATAATCGATAGAACAAACGCGGTATGTATGTATGTAGGTACGTTATTCAAGCGCCAAAGCTTAATCGATCGATACGATAAGTGACCAAGCGAAACGCATGTTATAATTGACACGTCATGCTCTCATTACGGGCCGTTAATGCCCAGCGATATTACATAGTTAACTGAACATACTTAAGATATTAAATAATATCTCAATTAATTACTAAAAATTTTCTTACTACTACGCTAATCGCTATAATGTAAACAAGTTTATTTAAGAACAATGAAGAAATAAGTTTCATAAAAAAGCAGATTTTTTAACCAATGTATCATAGATCTCTCGATTCATAATACATTTGTTGATAATAATTGTAAAACAAAATTAAATCATTTATCATTTGTGTCCACACAATGTATAAATATAAGTCACGAATATAGTATTAATATTGGTTGCCATCATGTGGCGGTGGTGGTGGCGGTGGTCCTCTTGGTGGGAAGGGTGGTCGAAATAGGGGTGGTGGTGGCGGCAGTGGGCCACCTTGCGAAACGGGCGGCGGTGGCGGATGTCGCCAAGTTGGAGGTGATCTTGGAGGCGTAGGCTGATACTGCCCGAATTGTGGAGGACCGCTGGAAGATGGTGGAGGAGGCGGCGGAAATTGCCCCTGTGGCGGTGTCCCGACAGACCAAAGTGGTGGTGGTGGTGCCATCATCCTAGAGGCAGCTGACTGCGCCTGAGAAGTCGGCACTGGCATAGGCGGCAACGGCGGTGGCATCCCGGGTGGTAGAGGAGGATGCGTCGCCATGGACATTGGAGGTAGAGGAGGCGGAGGGATGTTCGCTGGTGGAAATCCACCAGACGGTGGCGGTGGGACAGGCGGCGGAGGCGGATGACCCATCGGTGGTCCAGGAGTAGACGGTGGTGGTGGCGGTGGCACGACCATTCCATGATGCATCACATGATGCTGGGGATGATGAGCAGGTTGATGGGTATTCGCGTTTGAATTTGGCATAGGTGGCGGCGCCAAAGGTGGCGCATCCGCAAATAATTGATGCGGTCTGTCCGCTTGACTCAGAGGATTTTGAGCCGCTAAAAGTCTTTCGGCAGCACTACCGTGTCTCTCGCCCTTGGCATCGCGTTTAAAAGCATACGATACCGAAATTGGTCGATTGCACAGATATTGACCGTTCATTGCCTCAATGCTGGCATCTGAGGCATCAAAAGAAGCGAAATTAATAAAAGCAAAGCCTTTCGAGTTACCAGTCTCGGGATCCCTCATTATCTGTAATGTAAAATTGTTTCGTTATATAGCAGTCAAAGAAAAAACAGTCGAGTGTAATAAAATTAATTGAACGTACTTTTGGTGTTTGCAAAATCACGCCAAACGCACTAAATGTGTCGTACAACAATTTTTCATCTACTTCTGGATCAAGATTTCCTATAAATATATTTGCTCCAACATCCAAGTTCTTCTGGTGTGCACTAGCCTTGTTTACACGAATAGGTTTGCCATAAAGTTTGATCATATTCATAATTTTAATAGCATAATCTGCATCTTCTTCTCCCATAAATTCAACAAAACCATATCCTTGATGCATTTGAGTTACTCTATCTTTCGGCATGTGTACATTAACTGAAAAGAAATTATATATTTTACATATATACATTTGAACTTGGATTTTAAACTTGAAAAATTTAGTTATATCATATAAACATCCATTTTCATTCTTAAATAATCAAATCGAGATTTGTTTCATATACACACATATATATATATATATATATATATATATATATATATATGTAATATAGAGAATATTTGATAAGTAACGATAAAACTCTTGCATAAGGGTAGAGCAGATTAAATTGAGTCGAAAACGGAAAGTCCTCTAGCATTTTACAATTTCGGCAAATAATTAACAAGATATTAATTAATAAAAATCGAATATTGATTTGCAATAATTTTTTATTCAACTAGAGGCCGATTGTCACAGTTCTTGATTAGTGATTTTTTAAAAAAAGTGGAGGGCTGATTTTGAAATATTGTATACGTTATAATATATACCTACATCCTTTAGATATTAAACAAAATACTACTCGTGAATTCATCATATCGTAAAAGTAAGATATTTAATTTTAAATGAAGCTGCGGAAATGTGATAATTAATCCCGTGTTCTGGGTTGATTGTCACATGTTCTAGGATTAGTAGTAGCATATTTGTCATGGACAACACATATAAAAAATCCAATTCTTATTTTCATATCAGTTCTATATTTTAAGAAATAATAGTAATTATAGTAATAATATAAGTAAAAAATAGTTCTAATAATAATAATTACATACAAATTTACATTATTCTTAGTTATATGTGACATTTTTGTAATATAATTTTATTCGGAAGTTAAACTACATTATTATCTGTGTATGTACACGTGCTACCTGAGGTCTCAATCTACATGAGGCCATCTACTAACTGAATATGGAAAATAAGTAGAAGACAACCAAAGATTCCATGTGAGCAATTCTATTAATTGTCAACGTTATCATGCTGAAGAAGGCTAGAATTTAGCCGAAAAGTACATGTTACAATAATGGAAATTGTATATTCAAGATAGACTGAGGTTTGTCCAGTAATTTAAGCTCATCTATGACAGCGCAGATTCCTAATTGCCCTTATTTAATTACTATTTAATTACTATTATTATTATTTTATTATAAGGAATCTTAATACTTCTTTATATTAAAAAAAAATTATTTTAATTATAAAATACATTTGTTTTTATACCGTAGTTTGTATATGAAAAATGAAAAAATATGTATATCCGAAATATAATATATTTGTAAATATATTCTGTAAAAATGTTCTCAAAAGATATTAAAATTAATTGTCACCTAACCTGCTCTCATTTTGATCAATCTACTCCACATAATTTTTAATAAAAGAGATTGTATTCATAAACTTTGTCAGGATAATGATAAATTAATTGTAGCAAAGATCTTCTAACAAAGACATGTCATTTTCTATGAATACAGGGATATTGCAATTAATAATACTAAATCATACTATAATAATAAAGATTTGTCAGATAAGAAAATAGGTGATAAGAAAAATTTACTCACCAATTTACTTAATTTTTTCAGAAATCATTATAAATAATACAATGCTTATGGTGCAAATCATTTTACACAACAAATTAATATTATATCAGTAATCTACAGTAAAAAAAAAAGATTTTTCTACCATGTCCTGTTTGAGTTATAAGCATTTTGACAATCAATCTTGTACGACAAACAGCCCTGGTCTCTCTTACTATCAACGTTATAGAAAAACAGCAAGTAGCAAAAATTGTTTATTTTCTTCTTATAGAGTTCTAAGAATTTTTTCAGAATTTTTTAGTAGCGCATTTTCATGTATGTTGATAAAAATAGTTGCCAATAAGAAAATGCAATACTAAAAAATTGACAAAAAATTCTGAAAAAATTTTTAGGCCTCTATGAAAAAAAAACAATTTTTGTCTCATAATATTTTTCTGTAAAGTTGATATTTGGGTAAAAAATGATTGAAAACCAATATTTGATGATTTTTAATAATTGATATCTTGTTAACTATTGCAAAAACTGTAAAATGATAGAGAATTTTTTGACTCAATTTAGTCTGCTCTATGCAAGTTTTATCGTTTTTATCAAACATCCTGTATAATATATTTTTAAGAAAATATTAAAGATATATGTATATGATACGTAGTCAAACAGTGCCATATAAATCATTAGTTACCACCATAAATTTAAAAAAATACTCAAATTTTCATATAACACATAATAACGAATAACACATATGCTTACCAACAGGTCCTGATTGAACAAATAATTCCCACATAAGGGATTCTGTGACTTTGTCATCCAAACCTCCAACGTATATTGTTGCATCTATATAAATTTTCATATCAAAGATGTAATAAATACAAAAATTAATTTTATTATGTATTTGAATATTCATATGATATAAATTTTCTAATTAGGTACTTAATAACATAAAATACATTTTTAAGGTTAACTTTAATAACAAGTGACTAACCTAATTTGTAATGTAACGATAAGATAAATATAATCGAAGCATTTATTTCTTTTCATATATTCTTTTTGAAACAAGAGGTTATATAAAAATTATTTAAGCTAAATTATTTAACGAAAAGATCGGATCACATACCTTGGTTACGTTCTGCAATTGGACCGGCTGCCATAATTATCAATATTTACTTAAGAATTATTGACAAATTAATGGTTGCGTTTAATAAATATTGATGATTAAACTTTGTAAAACGTATTTAATTAGTAAACTTACAAGTATCCAATCAACCCCAATCAACCCCAACTAATTGTTATCAATTGTTATTTAAACTGTGTTTGAAAAGAGAAAAAGAAGGAGATGGAAAAGATCTTAGTAGAATTATCCTGTTCCAAAACTCTGTTTTAGCTGACCCTATAATACCTATTCTATAATAGGGTCAACGTAAGTCGTCAACCATAAGAAATTGACCAATCACAGTTAAATATGACAGAAATAATCAGAGCGCTCAGTGAGCGGTCGTGATTCTGAATGCACCTAAAGCCGGTTCTACATTAGTTGCAAGCTGATCGCAAGTTTGTCGCGACAGCCAATATGAAGCGTTGACTTGCGATTAGCTTGCAACTAATGTAAACCGGCTGAAGTTGCCAACACACCGTCGCAAGTCGCAATGCTTTACGGCAGCCAATCAGAAGCATCAATTACTATTGATGCTTCTGATTGGCTATTGCGAAGCATTGCGACTGGCGACAAAGTGTTTGCAATTTATTGTAGACCACGCTTAATTCAGACTGGAGGTTTATTACGGTTTTTGAAACGAGGTGAAAATGATCGAATTTACTAAAATATTTATAACTTCATGGTTAACACCTAGTGAATTTGTTCATTTTTGTAATTTTCACTTCGTTTCAAAAACCATAATAAACCTCCAGTCTGAATTAAGCGTGGTCTACAATAAATTGCAAACACTTTGTCGCCAGTCGCAATGCTTCACGGCAGCCAATCAGAAGCATCAATTACTATAAGTCATGTGATTGGCCAAAATTATTTATGAATATTTAAATAAATTAAACTGTAAAGAGAAAATTAATTTCAGATAGTCCATAAATAAATCGAATTTTAATAAAAAAATTAATGTTCTAGCTTTATGTAAAATACTATATAGATTTCTAAAAATGTATATTACTCTTAACATCTAATCTTGACCATAATCGGCGCTTCTCATATTAATTTGATTTAAAATTAATTGATTTAAAATTTTGCAAGTAAACGTTTCCAAATCATAATATTAAAAAATTTTAAATATTCTCGTCAGAAATACTTATATTTATATACTATAGTCAGAGCTTTAATAATACATTTCGTTTCTAATTGTAGGGTTTTCATAATAGCAATTTTTGAAACTTTGGCTGCGTTCAGGAGAACACAACAGTTTTGCAATTGTTTTATGATTCTCTGCTGAGATAGGATCATTCCTCTTGATCTAAAAACATAACCCAATCAACGCGAAGAAAATTTCCAACAGTTACAAAATAAACGTTCTGCTGAACGCAGCCAATGATTTCTCTAATTACATGTTTTCAGTTATAGTAGAGGTTAATTTTTCTCACCCTAAGATTAAATATATGTCCAAAGAAATCACTGATCCTATATTAAAACTATGATACAGTAGAAAACGCTTCTACATTATTATAAAAAAATATTTATTATCACAAATACACTGTGAGAACGTGGATGATATTTGTCGAGTTTAAATTATATAATTTATCTCCTTTGGATTATTTTGGATAATTTTGAAGTAACCAGATTTTAAATCCCAGAACTATGAATGTAATATAGACCAAGCATATGGCTCGTGAAAATGTGAAAACATACCTTAAAGCTGATAGTACGTGAACAATGAGAATGCTGACTGCTTTCCCGTGACAGTCGGAATTTCGGAAAACGGAATCTTGGAAAAGTAAATACGACCAATTAGATTAACGACCTATTAGATTACACTATTGCGGTAAACTTAAATGATTCTGACTGGTCATGTTACTTTTCTGATATTCCGTTTCCTAAATTCCGACTATCTAATTCCACCATAGTTTCAGTTATATTCCGATGTTCTGCTATTCCAGGATTGAAATGATATCAACCTAATATTTTTGATTCATTGAAAAACTCATCAATCGACATCAATTTGACGTCAATTTGATGAATCATTTTTTTTATTGATGGAGAGAAAGAGAGAAATAATCAATCACATTGGTGAACAGATCGAATTATTGTTCAAATGCAATTGATCACTTCTCTCTCCGAGATCTCAAATCGATTTCCAGCATCGTGAATACAATTAAAACTTACAAAATGAGCAATATCAATATATACCATATATATACAGGGTGTACGGTAAGTTTTGACAAAGTGCTAGTGTGTTTTTAAGAGTATCTTAAGTACAATCTTAAGATATCATAAGCCAATCAAAAACCTTTAGACATTACTGAAGACGGTCTTAAAATGAGAAGATTAAGAAATGATCAATTCAATGTCGAACCGATAATGATCATTAATACTAACCAAAGAATTCAAAGTATTTGTAGCATCATGCGATCGTAGCCTATCCTGCGTTATGGTTTATCAAATTCGACATTGGTCGGCTTATCTGTTGCGGGGCGGATCCATGAGCGCTCATTGTTATTGATGTATCCTTTTAGACTAACTCAACAAACAAGAATGAATTAAAATGGATTAAAATTTTTTTAATGTGTACTTTAAAGACAATGAAAATGGATTGAATGGATTAAAATGGATTGGATCCAAGCTGACACTAGTTTAATATTCAAAAAAAAAACATCCATATTTAAGGGTTTTTCACAAATTTTATTCCTAAGACATTTATAATAATTATACCTGAATTTATTATAATATATACCCCACTATACTATTATATAATATATACCCCATTAGTCACTTAAGCTTATTTTTTCAAAAATATTGAAAATTTTAATAAATTTTACATATTTTACATGTGTATACATATATATAAATATATATATATAATATGTAAAATATGTAAAATTTTCAATATTTTTGAAAAAATTTTACATAGGCGACTAATGATTTCCTATTTATTAGTAACCTATTTATTAGTAGATACGTTATTGAAGCTACATTGGATACGCATGCGTCTGAAACCTGGCCCGTCTAACACACTGGGAATAGCAGCGAGAGAGGAGGGGAGAGGAGAAAGAGGGAGGGGGAAGGAGGGAGAAAAGCAGCATTTATTATACGCTCTGGGACAGATCCCCTCGCCCCAAGCGCAGAGGCAGTACATAATGCGAGAAAAATACATTGAAATAAGATTCTAAAATGCTAGAAAAAAAGAAAAATACAAAATAAAAATAATAATAAAAATTAAATGTGAACAAAAATATCTAGTCTACGCGAGTGAGATGCACGCATGCGGAAAACTAGAAAAACCTCAGAGAAGCACATATTAACTTTGATTATACATGCAGGAAGACGAAACTAATGCAGGATTAACAGAAGTATACAGATACTTCTAAGATTTTGTAAGCAAATGCGCGTAATCTCTGCCTAAAGACATTAATGGAGCTCGAAGAGCACACATCCTGCGGAAAACTATTCCATAGATTTGCCACAGTAGAACGAAAAGATCTTTTATAATACTAACTATAGAAATCAAAGCCTTAAACGGTTTAGCTGGATCTTAAATGCTTGTATGGTTCTTGTATGAATTTATATCTATATCTATATAGTTCTTAGAAACGCGCGCCGAAATGATTTTTCGGTCTTAAAACGCTAACGCTAGCTCCACTAAACTACCGCAATAATATCAATTAAAAGTCGAGTTAAAATTGCGACTAGCAATTCAACAAATTTTTTATGCTTATTCGCATCTTCGAAACGATCTTAATAATGTTGAATGACATATTAAAATCTGTAAATAATTAATTCTTATTGCGAAAAATATTACCTCGGCCGGGAAAAGATCTTTTATAATATTCAGTGCGACACTGCAGCAGAATCAACAAATTACCAGGCGCTCTAGTCCGTCTGCTCGACACCTCAGCACGGTAAGTGAAATTGGAGAGAAGAAGCCTAGGCTGCCCAGTCATCAAGATTCTGTACAGCAGACAACAAACGAAGTACTGCCTCCTGACATTTACCCTTAACCAGCCTGCATGTCTGTAATAGGGTGAAATGTAGTCGTCCCATCTCACCCCATAGACATATCTAAGACATGCATTTATCCTCCCCAGCCTGATGTCTTGTTCCACCGTCATATCTGTAAAGAGGGGGGGGAGGAGGGAGAGAGAGAGAGAGAGAGAGAGAAAGCGCTCACGGATCCGTTTCCCAACAGTTGAATCTGTTGATTTCGACTTCAAAAATTATTTGAAATCGAATTGATTTCGATATCAAAAATTGCTCGAAATTGAGCTGATTTTGATGTCGAAATTTTCTCGAGACCGAACTCGTTTGAATCTTGAAATGATGTTGGATTTCTACCTCTTTTCAATGATAATTTCGATTATTTCTTACTGGGAATAGACGTAATATCTTTTCGTTTTGCAAATGACCTAAAAAAAAGCCATCTTTTGAATATATGTAGCGTATCTGGATATTATTAATAATAAATAGAAAATTAACAATATAAGTCGATTAAAAGTCGATTAAAAGGATATAAAAAGATGGCTTTCAGATTTTCGGAAATAGTCGACCTCAAGTCGGCTTACAGTCGACATTCAAAATCAACAAAAAGCCATCCTAAAATAATCGACTAAATGTCGACTTTAAGTTGACTAAAAAAAAGTCGATTAGTCGCCAAACTGTGTGGAGACGTCTAGTTCAAGACGTTTCTTTTAAATGTCTTTCAAACATGCATGTTCTCTGAGTATGATACCCTTGGATTGCTCTCAATAATAATTTGCAGACGCAAAATTATAACGCTTCAACGTTACATTAGCGCAACTATTTATTTATAAATGCAAACTATTTGCGCAATTAATTAGAGTTCGTCCGTGAACAATTTCGTCGTAAAAGGTTTACAACTATAAAGACTTATTATATCTCGAACCCTTGCTCTTTCCACAATGACTGATTGTTAATTGTGACTGTCACTCGTGGTCACTCGGCATTGATAACTCTCGCAGACTTCCGACGAGACCTTTCGACGAGTTCGACGGTGAGAGGTGAGTATCACGAAGGAATAGTATCTTGCTTGGCTTTCTTTTTGCCAGAGGTCGTGAAAGGTCAGATCCGATGTATAATCGTTCGCGCCGCATCCCGGAGATGCATGCATATGAGACTTCGGATGCCGTGAATTAAAATGCGCC